ACCGCCCTGCCTTTTTCCCCCACTGTGCTTCGCGCCTTCGTCCCTCCTAGAATGGCCGGGGTTAGCCTGATGGGCTTGATTGGATTGCTGGGCATGATTCCTATTGAAAGCCGCTTGGCGATCGCCAGCCTGCAGGATCCTTTCCTCCTCCTCTAGAGCCTTCAATAAGACTTCCAGTTCGCTTGAAGAGCGATCGACCTGCATTCTTGGATTCCTATTGAATTCGTTCCTGAAAGGGCTGGGGACGCAACCCAAGATCATGAGTACGAACGAATCTGACAGAGATTCGAAGCTGCTTCCCAAGCTGACCAGGGACCTAACGCTAAGAGTGAAGCGGCGCTGCTGTCGCCGGGTCATCCTGTAAAAAGGGCTGCTCGAGTTCAGAATAAAATCCTATCCATCATCACCGGTCTTCGTTGTTCCGCTACAATTTGGTGGCAGCGGCATGGAAGGCGACGGAGATGCTAGTAACTCGACAATGCCCACCGTCGTCCCGACTGCGGTCACTGTGGGAAGTCTAGCCTCATCCCCGTAAGTGACTTGCCACAACTCGACCCTGAGAACCCTAAGGAATGGATCAAGCGATTGGAGATGGATGTCATGGTCAACGGCTGGAGTGAACAGAAGGTCCTACGCTTAGCATACCGCTGCATGGACGACGACTCCAAGCGTTGGTTCACTACGGAAGTCGGGTGAGTTGCACGAGTTCCCGATTTCGTCGAGGAAGTCTGCCATAATGAGGGGAATCTTCACTTCTTTCATCAAAGAATCTTTCTTCCTTATGAAGGTTGTGAATGTTTCATCTTGGAAACGCTTCCGGCGGTGGAATTCTGCCGGGGAGTTCCGTTTTCCTTTGGGGAAGCGGACGAAGAACTGAATTTCAAAGTTCGACCACTTCGCCTGTGGTCCGACTTCTGCAGTGAGCCAACGCTTGGAGTCGTCGTCCATGCAGCGGTATGCTAAGCGTAGGACCTTCTGTTCACTCCAGCCGTTGACCATGGCATCCATCTCCAATCGCTTGATCCATTTCTTAGGGTTCTCAGGTTCGAGTAATGGCAAGTCACTTACGGGGATGAGGTTCTCTAGCAAGGTAGCTAGACTTTCCACAGTGACCACAGTCGGGACGACGGTGGGCACTGTCGAGTTACTAGCATCTCCGTCGCCGCTGCCACCAGATTGTAGCGGAACGACGAAGACCGGTGATAATGGATAGGATTTTATTCTGAACTCGAGAAGGGGAGGGGAGTTTCTTCAGCTCGTTCTCCCACCTCTCGCAGATGTATATTTCTCCTCGGTTTCATTGTCGCTCGTGGGATCCGATTTTTTGAGCTCGCTCTCGACCCGTTTATCCAGTTGAGCTTCGAGATCAGCAGCTTCGATGTCGATGCTATCCGCACCCATGGAAGAGTCCCACCTACAGGGAAGATCCTTGGAGAGTTCAGTCTTCACGACGATGACGTGCTTCCGTTTCTGACAATAGTAGACCTGCTGCATCGACACTGTGCTCCTCAGGAAACTGTCAGAAATCAGGAATATGACGAGCGTTGTTTGAGCTGCTTTCTTCGAAAAATGGTTACTTTGAGCGACTCTGTGGCGCGCCGACTCGCCGGATCCAACTCTGGAGGCGGGCGTGTGTTGTCCATCACTAGGACGCTCTGGAATCCAGTTCAGATTCCGACTCGTAGGTGAGAACGCCGTGTGGGCGTGCGGTGGATAGCCAAAAGGACTGATGAGTCCCGATTTCTGTATTCCTTTGTCCATTTTCGTCGTCGACCAGACCGAATAGCCCTTCGATTTGAGATGTTGCATGACCTGATCTGCTCTCAGCTTCTCCTTAGGATAAGCAGAGATGAGGATATCGATTTTCTCGTTGACCTTGGGGCTCTGGTTTGTTTCGCTCACCTCCTGGACGCCTAGCGGAAAGGAAGCGACCTCCTCGACAGGCGTCTGCAGCAGGACCGGATTCCGAGGCCTTGGGCGAGAGCTACTGTCTTTTGACAGATTTGCGCGCGGTATTCTTTCGCTCTTTGTCACATTCAGCTTTGAAAATCCTCGAAATGTCGTCAGCAACGCGTTTCACGTGCTTGGCGTCCCATTTTTTCGTGGGCGTCAGAGGAAGACTAGTGTTATGCGAATCCCCGGAATATCCCTCATCGTCGTGGTGATCTCTCGTCCTTTATACGCGTGGATGTACTGAATCGTAGCTAATTCGATAGCGAGACAGTCTGGAGGCCAGCTATCAACGAACGAAACCGGAAGTATCTTCTTTTCCAGCTTGTCGGCCATCGTCACCTCACGGTTTGTCCATTTCGTGATACCATAGAGCGGAGAGACCAATGGCACAGAAAATTTGCCCAGTCGTCAGCGCAGTTGATTTCATGCACGTCGAGGAATACTCGGAGATTTTCCTTGGTCAGTTCTTCCTTCAGCTGCAGTGCGTGCTCTTCGGTCTCTTTTCGGGCATAATTGATCAAGATCTCCCATTTCAGGTGCTCGTTGGGTTCGTGTATGCTGACACTCTTATTCGATCTTCTCGGCGTGTCCTTATCTTCGGGTTGCCGCAGCGGCACCTTGGCGAAAGACGGCAGTTTCACGGGCTTAATTTTCTCTCTATCCGAGAGATCGACCTGATCCAGTGCACAGAATCTTTTTGTCGTTTGGATTGTGATAGTGTAGTTGTGAACTATGTCGAGCACGGTGAAGAACACCTCTTGTTTTGAGACGATCGGGAAGCCATAGGAGTCGAGGAAATTAAATGAGTTGTTCGAAGAGGGAACGTCGTCGAAGCCCTGCTGGTCTCGGCAAGAGCCAGGGATGACACGAAGTGAATGAACTTGCCGGTTCTGAAGAGTTCCTTCGATTTGCACAGGCCGTGCACGCGTTGGATGAGGGCTGTCTTAGCCCATCTCGAGTCGCCAAAGTTGTCCTTGATAGTCTCCTTCATCAGCGGGCATGCTTCCGGACCAATCGTCAAATGTGCGACGGCGTTGTGGGCCTGTCCGATGAGTGAGTTCTTCAAGATGCGACACTTTTCGGTGACTTCCAGTGATGTTTTGACAACGTAGAAGTCGAAGAGCCTCTCCCATTCGACGTAGCGGACTGGATCCCCATTGAATTTCGGGATTTTCTTGCTCGGGTCGGATGGGAAATATACTGGAGCTCTCGGTGCTTCTTCTGGTTGCTGCTCCTCGGCATACACCTCGGTTTGCTGGCTGTCGAGCGTCTGCTGAGTTTGCTCGTCGTGCCAGTGGAAGGAATCTTGACCATTCTCTTGAGCTGTTTCTGGCTGTTTCGTGTCCTGGAGCTCCTCTGACGTCTAAAGAGCGGCCAAGTCTGCTGCGGGAGTCGGAGTTGACTGCGCGCCATGGACTGCTTCCAGTGGGTCAATTGCGGCTAAGAGGTTATCCACTGCGGTACTGGCTGCCTCTTCATATTCAGCATGCTTTTGAAATTCTTTGGATACTAAGGCCTCGTCCGATGTAAACTCCGGCGGAGTGCCCAGCGTATCGAAGAGTTCGCTGAGCTCTCGGACTTTGTCTCGGATGGCGTCGACTTGCCGATACATCGCCTCCAGGTGCTCAACAGTATCGAGATCAGAGTGCGATAACTGCGCGGCTTCATTGACGTGAGCTGACCTCTGTGGAGCTTGATTTTTTCTCTCGTCCAGAGCAACGGGAACGGTGGTGACTGGGGCGAAGTCTGAGGGAGCTCGGTATGTGTTCATTCTTGAGTCTTGCGGTCCATCTTCGATGTGCTTGCGCCAGCTTGGTTGTGCGACATAGTTCCGGGACTGTAGGTTTCGATGAGGTCGAGCGAGTTGAGCGCGGTGGCTCACGAGAGGAACGATACGGTGACTCACGTCCTGTGGAGATCCACGCTGGGATCGGACAACTCAAGTCGAGGGCTCGTCCGGAATGATGACGGTGCGATTCGCGCCGGGTACGACAAGCTTGAGCTCGAGGACTCAAAACAGACGACGATCCACAAGGGGGTCAGATTTCTGAGCGCGAGGGCTCACGTCTGTCAAATATGTCGAAAATCCCATCGCGAGTTGCCAGGTTGAGTACGAGGACTCGAGACAGACGTGGATCCAGACCCGGATCCAAGAGCTGAGCTCGAGGGCTCACGTCTGCTGGTATGCTGGACGGTTCACGGTGGGACCAACAAACGAGTACAGGGATTCACGATGATGCAGATCCACGCTGGGAACCGCTGATTTGAGTACGAGGACTCAAGCCAGACGGTGATCTGATGATGCTGGTGCACGCTTAGGCCTAACCTAAAGCACGTGGTCACGCTGCCGATGAGTGCACGTAGAGTTGCGTGCTGCACGAACCGGGTTGAGTAAAAACGCTCGCAGGCGTTTCACAGGGGCAGCCGATCCGATGTTGAAGCTGTATCGCCGCTGGGTTGCTGATTTTTCCCACGAGGGAAAAGAGCACGCCGGCACGAAGCTGCTCCCGATGACTCGCTGGATGGCAAGTGTAGCCAGGAAAACCGACAAAAACGTGGGTTTTCGAGTACACCAATGTTACAAACCGCTGGGGTTTGCGTGGGTTGACAACACTTAAGACAACTACTCCGCTGGAGATCGCTCTCCCGGAATACCGTATCTCGCAGGGGCTTCCGGACGTGCTGGTCTGCTGAAGGCAACTTCGTGTGTGTCTCCGCGCACGTCAGTCTCCGTTGGAGAGCCGCCGTCGGGGAGAGGGGGAAAGCCCTGCGAGGGCGACGGAGACCGGAGAGACTCTCATTTATTAGTCCGATGTGGACGCTACCTATGTTCTCAAGATTCGTGACAGACAACAGAGCTCTGAAACGGTCAAACGTGTCTTGAAAGTAGTGAGTGTGAACACGAGTGCTCCACACAGTGACCACCATGGCAACACACTTCTACTACCGTGTTTCTCCGAATATAAGACCATGTCTTATATTTCTCGAGCCGGTGGAAAAGGCACTAGGGCTTACTTTAGGGTATTTTGTTTTTCATCGGTCCTGAACTACCCGGATTCGTAGTTGATCCGGTAATACTTTAAGCAAAAACAATGGATTTTGTGACATTCAACTATTTCCAGTGTATCACTCTCCGGGATATCTGTGAAAAAGCTTGTGTCCTGAAGATCTTCTGTTAGCTTTCGCGTCTCTGCCTCACTCAGAATCCTCGCGCCCAGCCTCTCATGCTTTGCGATCAGACTGTCTGCGAAAGAACTATTTCTGTCCAAGTATCCTGCGCGTAGAGCGTTGCGAACACATTCATCTGAAATTTTCGCCCACGAATTTTTGACCCAAGTGACTACTTCGGACAAGCTTGGCTTCACAAAATTTCCTCGCTTGTTCCGGGTCATTCGGTGCTCTATGTACTCTCTGCATTCAATTCTGATGTAATCTTCGAAGGGTTCGTTTATGGCGAGATCAAGAGTTTGGAGGTAGCCGGTCATCCCGGCTGGTATCATGATCTGATCCACAGCCCTTTTGGCGAGAAAAGCCTTCATCTCCTTGGCGCGGTGCGTACTCGCAGAATCCCACACTAGCAGGGCCCTCTTGCCGTTGCGTGAAACTTGCGGCAGCATGAGGTCTGTCCATTTCTGGATCACTTGTTGCGTGCACCATGCCTTCTCGGTTTCCAGAACGTGGATACCATCCATCGTTTTCAGGTCTCCTCTCTTCCCTTCGGGGATGATTAAAGGAGTCGCCTCCGTACCATCGAGGCGAATCGCCAATACGCAAGTCACTCTCGCGCTCTCGTAACCGGTAGACGGTACATAAATTGATGAAGCCCCTCTTTTTTCGATAGTGGATTATGGCCCCGGTCCCAGGAAGACAGCCGTTTCATCCATAGCGATGACATTCCAAGCTTCGTATCGAGACGAGTCGATCTTATCGATGAACGATTTGAAGGCCAAAGCACGTTCAATCACCTGATCGTCTTCGAGCTTGAATAGCGTCGTTGACCGTCTCAAAGATAGTTCCTTCCTCTTCATGAATGCCGCCAGCCAATGACTCGAAGCTTTAACGTCTTCTGTGGAGATATCGAATCGTGGCGCTGAGGCTAGAGCGAAGGCTTGGACTTCAGCTCTGTTCACTACAAGACTAAGGGCTCTCCGGTCAAGAATCCAGTCGTAGATCGCGTCTTCGAGCTCGAGGTAATACGGTTGACGGCCCGTTCCACATTTACGTCTATCTGCACTGCCATCATGCGTCAGCCGTACGAGATCGTGGTAACCCGCGCGCCACTTACGGACCATACGCAAGTCCAGCTTCATCTCCTCGCAAAACTTCTTCAGATTTCCACCACGAGATTGCTCGACAATCGCTCTCTTAAACGCGACCGAATAGCCCTTCCTTTTTGAAGACATTCCTCCGAAAACTGGTATGTTCCGAAGACTCCGAGTTTGACAACTTCCGTTACCACTCTGAGCTGGCCACGCCGAGCGAACACAATGGGGCGGCAGAACAAAACATTGCTGCGACGTGTCGACCGGACGTGCTTCAAGACTTATTCCGATCCTTGGGTAGGGCTTATTTTCGGGGTAGGTCTTATATTATCGCCAGGACAGAAAATCGAGGTAGGGCCTATTTTCGGAGGAGGTCTTATATTCGGAGATATAATTCCCGGGTGTTCCCTTCAACATCTTCCCGGGTGTCTACTACAGACCAGAAAAACTCCAGAACTACCCCAGATTAACCGATCATCTTGATGATCGGTTACCTTGTTTCTGCAACTCTTCGGAGTGCTATTACATGAGCCAGATGCACCATCACCAGGTGCTCTACTACTATCAGTTCGGCGGCCCTAAATGGGACGTCATTACTGAAACAAGCCTTTCGCGACCAACAAGTTGTTACACACTCAAATATACCGCGTTCCCGCGGAAGTCAAAGCGCCACCTACAATAACAATTAGCTCTGAATTCGACAACGCTGTTTGACGTCGATCTGATACAGTACTAGAGATTTTTTGGCTGCTATGGCCAGGAGGTTTCGCTGGTGTCCGATGAAACATACTGAGTCGTCAGTCTAGTATGCGCCCAGAAATCCTTGTGGCTAGAATGATTGAATTCACCAGAGCAGAACGTCCCTGGGTATTTTCTCAACCCTTACGCACGCTTCATTGTCAGTGTTCTTCTGTAAACCTCAGTATCTGGACAAATAGCTAACCCTGAGCATTCACAATGTAACCCTTTTCACTGGATCACTATATAAGGATGGAGTAAAGAATCCCCGTCTGGGGGAACGTTCGCCAGTTACCCAGTGTGTTCGCTAGCCGAGGTATCGTTAAGTGGACATGAAATTCTTCACGTTATCAGCACGATAGTGCTCTGTGTTCCTAGTGAAAATTCTCTAAGTGCAAGAGTAAATCAAGAATGCCCACCTCTCGAGACTACAGAGCCCCTCACGGCTACGTAGATGTAGGCGAAGAAGAAGAAGCAAATCAACCGAGGCAACAAGTCTCGACCAATGAGCCGATCGTGTGCGGCCCACGACCGCGTGTTGCAAGCAGTATCATCCTGGCTCCAGATGGGAAGAATTTCATCCCATGGAAAACCATCCTGCCCTCAGTCCTGGACGGAGAGCCCTTTGCATGGGATGTCGTCTGCGGACGATTGAACATGCCTGACTCCGCCACTGCCGCGAGTCCCGAAGGCAAAAAGCAGAGGCAGAACTTCCTGATTGGGAACAGAGCAGCGAGGTACATCCTCATCAACTCTATCCACCCTGATCTGGCGGTCACCCTCTTCTTGGACAACGCTGAGGATGTTGACGCCCAAGAGATCAGGCGCCGCATCAAGATTCGTTTCCAACATGCTGACGGTACCAGAAAGAGTCTGTCTATGGCCAAGTTCCTGAGGTTCCGCTATCAACCAGGAGCGTCAGTTCAACAAAATCTCCTTGCATTCAAAAAGATTGTCTATGAGATGAACGAGGCCGGTTTCCAGCTGGAAGGCGACTTAACAGTCTCCCGCCTCCTCGAAGCGCTTCCGTCATCCTGGGAGCCATTCCGCCAAGCATGGAGTGCCCGCAAAGAAGAGGACAAGCATCTTGACACTTTAACCGAGCTCATAGATGCTGAAGCTCTGCGCCAAGGCATGAACAACGCAGGTGAGGCGACAGCTATGTTTATTCGCGTAAACTTCCCTGGAGCTCGTCGCTTCCCTCACCGAAACTTCAGAGGACGCTTCCAACAGCACCAGCGTCAAGTCACATCCAATCTCAGTGCTCCTCCCCACGACGAAATGACAACAATCGTCGGAACAACAACCATTCCAACAACCGTCGTGGCCGCCCGAACCATCAACGACGATTCCCGCCTCAAGCGAACATCGTGGAAGCCTTGAACGTCAAACTTCTACCTTCCGTCGACGATTCTACAGGTGAGCATTTCGTCATAGACTCCGGATCTACCCACCACATGACCTACAGCTGACGCCGACGATGGCTTGTGGACTATCAACCGTTCCAAACTCCAACTCAAGTCAAGCTCGGAGGCTCTCGAGTTCTAAGTGCACAAGGCTCGGGAACGGCACAGATTACGGTTCCAACCAATAGTCGCACTGATATCATCCAACTCAACGATGTTCTGTTCGTGCCGAATATCCGCCGTAATCTCATCTCCGTGTCGAATATCAAAGATGATGGTTTCGAGATCAGAGTCACCAAGGATGACATCAAACTCATCAAAGGTGAAACAAAACTTTTCGCTGTTCGACAAAATGGTTCGTACGTCTTCTACGACACGGAACCACTGGAAGCAAATCTGGCTGGAACAAGGAAAAGAGTGAGCCTACTGGAAGCTCACAAAGCCTTCGCTCACGTCAACGTTGATTTGGTACAGAAAATGCTGCAGCGCGAAGGTGAGCTAGCAACAGAGCGAAGCCAGAAGATGCCGGAGCATCCAGGCCCGGGTTCATCCACGCTGATACTTGTGCTGTGCCAAAAGCTTCGTTCGGTGGTGCCCTGTATTCTCTGACGCTGTCCGATGATTTCAGTAGATACAGGAAAATTTACTTTCTCCAAACAAAGGATCAGGTAGCACATTGCATTGAATCGCTCACCGCTCGGTTTCACACTCATGTCAGATAGGCCATCAGATATACCACTTTCATTCAGACGAAGGTACCGAGTTCAAGAATCGTAGATTAACCAATCATCTCACTAGTATAGGAGCGGAGATCAGCAATTCTCCGCCCTATACTGCCCAGCTCAACGGGGTAGGCGAAAGATTAAATCGATCTCTTACGAATCTGATTAGAGCCATGCTGATTAAGAGTGGATTACCAAAAGGTCTGTGGGCTGAAGGCGTAAATTTTGCTGCCCATATTCTGAACTGTTTGAAAACCCAGAAAGATACTGACAAAACTCCTTTCGAACTGATTCATGGTAAACCCCTTTCCTCAAGGAGATCTTACCATTCGGAACTCATTGCTTCTATTATAATAGAAATCCTGCTAGGGAGAAATTAGATGACAGACGCTTTCCGGGCAGAGTCTGCGGTATCGAACCAGATCGATTTCGCATCTGGATTCCCGATACGCGTCAAGTAATCATAACCAAGGATGTTAAGATCAAGAAATCTCCCCCTCTCGAGCATGATCGAGAACATTCAAACGAAGGCACCCCCGGCGAAGGCACAGCTGAAGATGATGAAGAAACTCCGCCCGGCGACGCCGAAACGGCCGCTGAAGGATCGGAGAATGTATTGACGGGAGACGCTCAGCGAGAACCAGCGGACACCTCTCCGGAGAGATGTCGGTCGCCGGCTCGTCTCAAAGCGCGCGTAGGAATGATTCATCGACAGTAATGGAAGGACGTCGATTGAGAGACCGCTCTAAGTTGAAACCGCCTGACAGGTACCAGGCTGGTATGGCGGAAGTGTCGACAAGTACGGGAAGCGATATATGCACTAGTGTAAAAAGACCGGCGGACGCGCCGACACGTGTGAATGATGTGCACAGCTCGCCTTACGGGGAAAAAGGCCATGGCCGAGGAAATGGCCTCGATGAAGCACCACAACGTTTGGGAGCTAACGCACCTGCCAAAAGGCAGACACACCATTGGTAACATGGGGATTTTACAGGAAAAGGAGAACGAGGCTGGAGAGGTAATTCGTCGAAAGGCTCGCTGGGTAATCAAGGGCTGTTCTCAAGTCTTCGGCCGAGACTATTCTGAACTCTATTCGCCCGTTGCCCGATTCGATACGATACGCCTTGTTCTGGCTATCTCAGCCATCAAGGCGACGCACCTCCACCAGTTCGATGTACATATCAACTGCCTTTCTCCATTCAGATTCGGAAGAGGAAATTTACAGGCTTGTATTAGGGACCTGCATAAGTTTTTAGCCCTCTCTGTCGATCCGCGATATCTCGGCTCCTGGAGGCCGTAGAAACTTCCCAATACATGCGCTTTGCGCGCAAAGAGGCCAGCTTTCACACAGACTTGTCAAAATTGTGATTGGACGAGCTGTTCTCGCGGAATCGCCAAAATACTGAAATTCACGAAATCGGCAAAATTGACTTCCTGAGGTAATTTTTTCAAAAAGTCCGTAATCCCCTGAATTGACATGCTCATTCGAAAGCTCGTTGACAATGCAGTCGATTCATTTTTTTACGTAAGGATTTTACGCCCATTGGAAGATCTCGCAATCGAGATCCGAAGGTTGAGATCGAATCATAGCGTCTCGCCGCTCCCGGCTTTTCCTGGTCGCATGACGACATGCGCATCGTTCTCCTCGTGGGAAACGCAGAAAATATAGACCCCAAGATCGATTTTTCTCCGCTCGATTCCATCTCTAATTCCGTCTGGAAGTCCCCACTTCGTGCACGGCGTCTAACGTCAGCAGCGACCGAGGAGCGATGGGAACGCAACCCAGCGTGCCACTGGAAGCGTCACTCCGAACAGGGAAAAAGGAAGAAATCAAAAAAGGAGCCAGTCCGAAGAGTCTCGAGCTTTTTGAATTCTT